AAGTTAGGGGGGTAGTGTAGACCAAGACCTAAGGAAAGTGGATTAACTACAGGAAGGGTTCTCCCATCGCTGTAGTTAGTGTCTACAATGAAGTGCTGCAGCTGTGCCACTGTAGCATTAAGTGGAGACACATCCTAAGGCCACGTCTACACTTACAAGTTTACAGTGGAACAGGAGCATCGGTACAGCTGTGCTGCATCGGTACAGCTGTGCTGCTGTAAGATAACTCGTGTAGTTGCATTATGCCAACAGGAGAAAGCTCTCCCATCGATATAACAAAACCAGCAAAATGAGTGGCGGTAGTTATGTCACCAGGAGAGCATCTCCTGCCGACACAATGCTGTGCACGAGGGCTTATTCCAGGAAACTTATGTCGCTTGACGGGTGGTTTTTTTCACACCCCTGAGCGATAAAAGCTTTGCCAACATAAGTGCTAGTGTAGACATGGCGTAAGTCTTTGGAATATTACCTACTCACAGTAGCATATCAACTGCAAACGCAGGTGAGAACTAAAGCTGTCTAAATGATTATTAACTCCTACCAACAAACATTTTTCTTTCTGTTTAAAAAAACCTAGAAATTAAATGGCAAAATGCTTCACTAATGGAGAGTTAAGGTTGTGTGGTGATAGCTTGTGCCCTGCCCGAATATCTAATTCAGCAAACCTCAAGCTTCTCCAAACCTGGAAATATAGAGTTAAGGTGAACACCCTGTGACACATGGCTAGAAAGGGTTAAACATTCTGCAAAATAAACAACCCTCAAAAGACAGGTGGAGAGAGAATGTTTGTGTTTTTGTGTATTTACATAGGTCTGAGTAGGATTGACAATGTATCAACAGTCCCTGTATATGCTGTATTCTGATAGTTCAGAGATCAAAAGAACATCCCAGCATTTAAATAAATTGTAAAAACGGGAGCTCAGTATTCATCTCCCTTTGAAATATACTGTGAATGGTGGAGAAACAAGCAAATTGCCTTATGTTAATTCTATAGCTAAGTACCAGTGATGGACCTCCATCAAAGTCATCCTAATGACCTTTTGTTCCTGGAGGAACTCCCAACTTGTCAAAGAGGACATGAAATTGTATAAAAGATCCTTGGGTCCTGATTCTGTCATCTCAGATCTGCTTAGGCTACATCAGGGGAAGTTTGAGTCGCAAGACTGAGGTCCCAGTTATGCTGGTACACCCTGAATATGATATTTAAACAGTGGACTATATATAACCTATGAACTGAATTTTAAAAGAACTCTTTGCAACTACAAAGCTCACCAACTCTGCTGTGAATCTAAACCTCAATGAACTGAACTCATGTCTGTATGTATATTGATCTTGTAAACATACTCACTCTTTTGTTTTTTAATAAATGTTAGTTTAGTGAATAAGAATTGGCTGTAGCGTGTATTTGGGTAAGATCTGGAATATTCAATAACCTGGGAGGTAATGTGTCCGATCCTTTGGGATTGGTAGAACCTTTTCTTTTATATGATGAAATAAGATTTTCAGGAATCTTCATCATATTTGATTTAGGTACCTGGATGGAGGCCTGAGGCTGGATCACTTTAAGGGAACTATGTTGTTTGGACTTCTGAGTAACAAGAAAGGTAATAAAGGTGGTGTTTTATGCTGGTTTGGTAAATCTAAATACTGGAATATCCACCAGCTTTTGGGGGTTTGTCTGCCCTATTCTTTGCCATTCACCCTAATTGAGTAACCACAGATGGCTCCCACAGGGACCCCGGTCACACACCCACTCAGCCTTAACTCTGCTCTCTGAGCAATGACACACACACACACACACACTCTTTTCACTGTAATGGACAGGCACAAACTGCACTTCCCTTACGCTCAAACGCTGAGTCTATTCCACCGACAGAATACTACATTTGTAAAATTTAACAGCAACTTCAGACCCTTTTACAACTCCTTCATACTGGCACACAATATACCACCTAAACCTATACTTTCTCCTACCTATCATTAAATCCACAGACTGCTCTCCTATCCCACTGCCCTATTGACAATACCCATGGCAAGACAACCCCAGGGCCCTGTTACTGACAGCCTACACAATTCCGTAGTGCAATGATGTAGACTGAAACCTCAAAGTACACATGCACCTCTTTCTTCTGATAGCACACAGGGGTACCCAGATCTCCTCATCTCAATCACAGCTCTTTCAAGCTGCCCCAGTTTATTCCTCCACCATTCAATACAGCTACACATAATGCAATGATTGCAGCTGAGGGCATGCTGACAATTCCCAGTGGCTACTGCTAGCTCCAGGGGCGCAGAGTTAAGGCTGAGTGGGTATTTCCCTTAACTCTATTTCCTGATTTTCAGAAGTTTCAATTGTGCTGAGTTCGACGTTCTGGAACGGCAAAACCTATCACTAGGCACTCTGAACTCCGCATTAACCAAGCTTTTTGCCATGTAACTGCATTAGTACTCACTAACATACCTGATACCATTTCTGTAGCAATGTAATGTTCTAATGAAAAATGGCACATGAAAGACGACACCCCAGAGTGGCACAGCAAAGTGACTAGTAGGCAAGCCAAAATGACCCTACAAATATAACTTAATAGTTATCCATTGATTTGGGCTGCAATTATTTGGCAAGGCAGTTGTTTTCATATTCAGAGAATGTGGCCATCAGAGATACGCCAGGATAATAAACATTATTTGATTTAAGCATTCCATTATAAACTTTTGGAATCATAAAAACAAGAAAGGCCACAAATAAAAACATACTTTAATATAGCAATTCCTTTTAAACCCCTTTAGCTTTGTTTGAAGAAAAATAGTATTTACTAGGATTTAACTGACAAACCAGAAGATATTACCATATCAGTAGGATGTTTGAAAATTTAAAGAAACAACTGCACCTTCTGCTGAGTCCAACAGTCTAAAAATTCACAAGGTAAGAAGCACCTGTACAATGAACAAACTGTGGAATATATATTTTTAAAACATTCTTCATTACAGTTGCCATTTCTGAACTTCCATATAATCTAATGTCACATTAATTAGGATGGCAGCTCAGAAATGCCACTTAACTGTGACTGACCATATACATTTAATATTTTACCCAGAGTGAGGACTGCTTGCCTCGTGAGAACTTTCATGCTGCTGAGCTAGCCAAAATAGGTGCCATTTTCTTTTAAGTACTAGCAAACATTTCTGGAAACCTTCTGTATCTCCCACAACTCATTACACCAAATAAACAAGTTGTATCCCTTGGGCATACATGTAAGGGGGAAAATAATCTTATTTACTGACATAATTTTAATAATATGCTGTCCTTTCCAATCAATTCCAAGAAACCTATTACTTTTTCAAGTCAGTGTCTCAAATCATTGTTAAATTATTTACTACTTCATTGAGTGAAAGTATTAGAAAGTATTTTTAATGGTTTAGGCCCACAAAATATCCAGAAGTAAAATAGCCTTTAGTATATGGTTTTGCATTCAGTATTAAATATTCTTCCAGAAATGTCTTATCATTAATGAAACAAAAAAGATAAAAGATGCAGCAATGCAATACTCACCACCTCTTGTTCCACATCAGAACAGACAACACTCCTGCCCCCAACTTGTACCTCAATTGGCTTATTCAGAATTCGGCGAGCTAATGCCTCCATAGCTCTGGGGAAGGTGGCAGAGAACATGACTGTCTGACGATCAGGTCTGATGTTATCTACAATGCGCATGACCTGGATGAAGAGTAAAATAGGGGAGAGGGATAGCTCAGTGGTTTGAGCATTGGCCTGCTAAACCCAGGGTTATGAGTTCAATCCTTGAGGGGGCCACTTAGGGATCTGGGGCAAAAATCAGTACTTGGTCCTGCTAGTGAAGGCAGGGGGCTGGACTCAATGACCTTTCAAGGTCTCTTCCAGTTCTAGGAGATAGGATATCTCCATTAATTTAAAATTGAATTTATTTATTTAAAATTACAGTTAATACCAAAAAGTGTTCTACACAAGGCAGAATGGACTTCACACACACATTTGCCTGTCAGTTTTAAAACTAAGGAGTAACGGCTTTGCACAGAATATAAATATCCTTTTGCAAGTTTTATCTTCCAGAGTCTGTGTATTTCACTGGAAAAGCAACAGAAATTGCTGTACTCAGTAGAAACACCACAGAAATGGAAAAGGGTGGGATGTTGTAGTGCTCCTCTGAGGCACAACACAAACCTCAGTCCATGGGAACAAGGGTGGTGGCTTCCCAACTCTAGAGGAGTAAATGTCCCTTGGCGTAACCTAGAAGCCCCAAGCTGCCTGTGAAAGGGAGCCCCACCACCCGGATTCACTGTAGTGCTATAGTCCTGTCACTTCCAGGGCTTATCCAAGGAGATAATGGAGCCTCTAAGGCTCAGTAGTTTGAGCATTGGCCTGCTAAACCAGGGTTGAGAGTTCAATGCTTGAGGGGGCCATTTAGGGAACTGGGGTAAAAATCTGCCTGGGGATTGGTCCTGCTTTGAGCAGGGGGTTGGACTAAATAACCTCCTGAGGTCCCTTCCAACCCTGATATTCTATGAGAGACATGGAGTCCTAGTCATGATCAATGCAAAAAAACCTCAGAGTCAGCTTACAAACTGTCACCCAAAACCAGCACGCCTTGCTGACCAGGTGTCAGTAGTCTCATTATATGACAGCATTGATAACATGTAGGTTTAATTCAATTAATTCTCCCCCTCTTTACCTGTGCCCCACAAAATCCTTTAAGCAAGAATAATGTCCTCAAGCCTAGCATGTCCTTAAGTTACTTCCATTGCCATCTCTCCTCCACCACTAAAATCAAAACTTAAAATCCACTGTGCCATTCATTACCTGAGGTTCAAAACCCATGTCAAACATTCTGTCTGCTTCATCCAATACAACATATGTAACTCTGCGAAGGTTTGTCACCCGACCTGTGAAAAAGGAGAGGGGAAAAAAGAAGAATCAATATCATACAGAACTCTCTTTCCCCTCAGGAGTAATTTTAAGTAAAATGTTAAGTATTCTGACTAGCTTCTAACAAACATATAAAAGTTAAATAGGGTGTTTTTTTTGTTTTAAAGAATTCACCATATGTGTTTTAAATTTCTTGTTCTAATGACATATACATTCTGGCAAATGTGTAAAGATGCACAAGGCCCTTTATTTTGTCAAACTCTTCTCGTGCGTACCATCATAGGGCCAGAAGAACCTGTAAAATTCAGAAAACAGCCCTCGCCAAAACACATCATAAAACTAAGACTGAGATGAAGCAACGAGCCACATCAGCCATTATCTGATAGCGCCACCTAGGAAAAAACATATTAGAGATTACAGCGCATGTGTGGAAGGCAAAGTTCCAGTTCTAACTGATGAAGCCTCACAAAATTTCCCTCTATATTATAATCTGCAATGCCTCATTGGATTTAGAAATAATGATTTGAGGATATTCATTTGTATTAACTATTTGTAGTTAATTGCTAATAGAATAATAAAGTGTAACCAACATTTTACTAACAAACATATACAGATTAAAACCTGTCTATTAAACCCGCGAAGATAAAAAGTAACAAGAACCCCAGTCTTTGGTACAAGTGGAATCAAAGCACGCAAAAAGTTGTACATCTGTACACATCTCATTTTGAAATGGTCATGGATAAACAAGTTACTAGCCTTCCCAAGCAGTGGAAAAAGGCACCCCTTAAAGAGTGAAAATAAAAACATCAAGAGGTGAAAAAAAAAAAGTGAATTAAATCATATTATCTTTAAAAGATGTTTACACAAGAATACATTGGATTTCAAGCAATAATATTGTGATACTTTATTGTCTGTTCTCAGACTGAAAGTAGGATTTGCACATTTCCCTACAATCGTCACTCAAACTGGTACCTTTATCAAACTATGTGAGAACCTATTACTTTTACATTTAAACTATAGCTGTCAAGACCTCAAATTACTATTTTAAAAAATATAATGCAATACTTTTTTATATGTTCAATTCACACTTAGTGGTCCAAAATAATATTTATTAAAAACCTACATATTTAACATGTTAATATTTGCATCCCCAAATAATAACTCTGCAAAATTACTTGGGAACAGCATTAATGTACCTACCTTTGACGGTTTAAGTCTTGGAAGCCCAGTTCTATAAGTCTTGAAGGGACTTTTTCCACAGAAGTTAAATAATGTCAACAGTTTATTAGTGGTTTGATGTGGAATATTTTAATAATCAAACGTTGTCTAACAAGCATGCAATGATTACAGTAAGCCAAAGCCTCTTAAAGCTGCAGTATCTCATTTTAACCTATGCAGGTATTTGATCTAGGAAGACACTAGTTTTAATTTTTAAAACATTTTAAATAGATGATCATTCAGGTAACAATTTTTGTTTTTTAGCAACAGATAAAAGCAGAGTCTTCTGTATAGCTAAGTCTCTTTTATGCAAAAGTGAACTGCTGTTAAGTTGTGCTAATGCTGAAGATCAGTTATTGGGCAATGGAAAGTCAAAATAAGCAAGCATTACATAAGTAAGCCTTCCTTTATCTACAGGGTTGTCTACATGGCAAGTTAGTCTGCAGCAAGCTAGGTTGTGAATCCACAGCATACCAGCTTGCTGAACAGTAATTTCCCCGGTGAATACTGCTACCGCACACTGAAAATGAGAGCAGCTTGACATACTAGTACTTGAAAGCATAGTAAGCCAAGCCAGTCTTTAGGATTTTCAGTGAGCAACAGAAGTGCCACATGGGACATTACTGCACAGCAAGCTGGTGAGGTGTAGATTCACAACCTAGCTTGCTGCAAAATAACTTGCCATGTAGACAAGCCCAAAACTACCCAAAAGTACCAGAAATTTGGAGTAGAGTTATAAATTGACTGTACATATAAATTCTTAGAAATTCTTCAAGCATGTTACAATGCCTGTCCTTCAAAATGAAGCTAATAATTGAATAGAGCCATTTTCATTGCTGTACATTCTGAAATGCCACTAATAGATATCACAGCTTCAAGAGATGTAAATAAATACCAGAAGACAATTTATAAAAAAAACCATTATTTCCTGATTTTGTTTATTAGAATTACGAAATAAATATATAAAAATATCTCTAAAGGAATAAAGTTTCTACTCACCATTATTAGCTGCTAACATGTCAATCATACGTCCAGGTGTGCAAACAATAATTTCAGCACCTCTTTTTAGTTCAGCAATCTGATTTTAAAGACAATTAAATTAAATTTAACAAACCATTTGAAGTTTTTATGGAGATCAGAGATTGAATCATGTAAGTAATGTTTTCAGTCACTGTAATTAACCATTCATGTTTAACTATAATTTACAACAACATTGGTAGAACACTGATTATTTATTTGAAGATTTTGTTTGGCAATTTCCTTAGTGTTTGGAAATTACTTTTAAAATAATGATTTATGAAGACCTGGAGTTGCTACAATCTAGAGCAGTGCACATGAAAGGGTTAGGATTCCTACACAACGTAGCAGTCATCCGTATATTATAGCAAACGCTGCCTATTAGGACAATTCATGTAGGGAATCTTAAAATATCTCTACAGCTGTGAATATATTAATCTCTATTACATATGGTTATTGAATTTATAAATCCTGTAGTTTCCATGGGTTAAAAAAAACAAACAACAACAACACTGGGTAACTTCAAAATTCATCAAGCTTTATGAAAATAGTCAAAAAGCATTACTCGCTAAAGACAAATCAGATTAAGAGTTCCTCAGCCTTCTTTTTTGAGATAGGAGATATCAAAAAAGTTAGGGAACTCTTTGGAAACAAGAAACCGTTATTTCAAACTATCATGTCCCAAAAATGCTTTGCTTAATTACCACCAAACTATATTAAAAAAAATACTGTCAGACACATGGGCCCATCCATGAGAAACTTCAAACAGACTGACTGACTTCTGGCAACATATGCTTGTGTACATGTGCAAAGGACAGGTGCTGGTGGTAGTAGTGAGGGGCAGTCAAAAGCAGGCTTTTAAAAGAAACCTAATTGCTACCAAATCTCCAACATATAGAGAAAATCAAAAATGAGAGTTCAGAACTAATATTGGATTTATGGGAAACACCCACTAAGCAAGGTTGGTAAGTGACAGATGTTATGAGATTTCTGATAAATATACTTTAAGTGTACCTGTTCACTGATTCCTGTTCCTCCATAGACACAGACAACTCTAAACCCAAGTGTCTTTGAGAACTTCTTACATTCCTTGGTAATTTGTAAAGCCAACTCTCGAGTTGGGGTCATGATGACAGCTGAAAAACAAAGATATTAAAAACGTAACCACAAAAAATTTAGGAGATAATGATCCTTTACATGGTAGAAACTGAACCTTTATGGTGAAGCTTAAACCATCTCTTTTAGACTAATACAGCTGTACTGTATACATTATTGTCTGTACTTTAGATCGCTTGAAATAAGGGATTTTACAGTATCTGAGGCTGCCCTGGAATTAAAAATAAACTTGACCATAGCTCCAACAACCCACTGAAAACAGGATAAACGAGGGGAAAAATTCCTCCTTTAAAGGTATATGGAAACGTGTAGTTGAGTGGAAATGCAAATATTCCTCAAGTACAAACCATACAGCAAAAATACATTTTTGTGGCTTATTGTGTTGGCAGAACCTTCAGTGCTCACTAAGAAAAAAAGCCTCTCAGGGTTGACGTACAGTCGTGAAATACATGTTCCTCCAAAACACCAAGAGAGGAACTGAAGGCCCCTCTGAAAAGCTTATAGAAGCGCATAAAGAAATATCTGACAAAACAAATTGAGAATGCTGTACTTCAGGTCCTAATGAGTAAGAGGACTTGCACTGACTGTTAAAATCATGTAGCAGCCCTGTGCCAATTTCCAATGAAAAAAATCAAAGGGTACAAACTTCCCTTTCATTCTTCCTAACTAGTCGTTCTATATAAAGAGATACATTAAGCAAAAAAAATCCCTCAATGTACATCGAAACAGAAGGATGTACAATAAATCTATTTGCTGAATCAGAGCTTAAAAACTGAGCTGTGCCAGAAGAAAATGTTTGTGGTAGGTTCTGTGTCATCATCCCAGAGCTCTGAGGATTCTCATTCTACCTTCTGGCACGGGGAGAACAGTTCTGAAGTTACACATTGGTACAGGGAATTTATACCACACACAGAGTTCTATTGTCACAATATATCTTAGCCACAACTAGTGTATTTAAACACAGTTCACTAGAAAAATCAAAATAAACACAGATGTTTAAATTATGGTATCCAAGACTTAAAAAAAAGTATAAATTTCAATCTGTCAATATCCGAAAACAAAGATTTGTACCTATTGGACCTTCTCCTTCTTCTAATGACCTCTGATCCATGATGTGTCTGAACATAGGCAACAGAAATGCAATGGTCTTTCCACTTCCTGTTTTAGCAATGCCTATCAAGTCACGTCCACTCATAATTGCTGGTATAGCCTGAGTTTGGATGGGAGTGGGCTTTTCATAGCCATGTCTCAAAGAAAGAAAAACAAAGTACTGTCAGGAGCAAAAAAGGATTTCTCATGAATTGCACATAATCCTGCTGGAAAGATTTACATATTCCACTTGAATGGAAGCTTTAGTTCCGTGCAACTACAGCACAACAAATACAGGGTGAAGAAATGTGTGTTATGTAATTAGTGGGAAAGAATAGTTTATAATTGCCCAGAAGAGCAATCCTGAGTGAGCACCTTAATCTAGATGGTTGGTATACGTGGTGCCATAGAATAAGAATATGTAAAACAAATAAGTATCCGGGCCTGAACACTCCACAGTCTTAACACAAGGACACAATGGAAACAACTGATATTTTGGTTCATAAATTGTTCACTTACTTCTTAAGAGAACTGAGAATCTTCATGGAAATACCACATTGTACCCAGGTTTTGATTGGCTTGGGGCAGCCTTTTCCCTTGACTACAATGCCCTCCATTTCCAGCCTGTATACATTTACCTCTGAAAAAAACACACTATGAATTAATACACAATCAAACTAAGTATTTCTCTGCTATCTTATTCAAAGTCTACTTGAAACGTACTGTCCCCGAACATGATGCAACAGATTTTAGCTAGCTACAGAGACAGATGCTGAGTATGTAGAAAGTGTAGCGGAAAACTTTCAATGAGCAGGTCACAAATATAACTAAATGAAAAGTAACAGTACATCAGTAATACTCACTGACGGGATGATTAAACCTCCCTGCCCCACCTCCGGCCTGTCAAGTTGCACCAAGAAAAATTCCCTTGCAAGCTTTAATTCCTCTCTGTAACTAATAATTGGGTTACTGCTTTATGTCAGCCTCTCAAATTATAGCCTGTACTTTCCTTCTCGATGGTCCACAGAATTTTGGCTTTAATGTCCAAAGGACAAGACCTAAAGAACTCATTGGTGCCTTGCATATCTAAATTTGACAGACATTTTCTTCCATTAAAAACTACCCTACAAATTTCATTTTTATTTGCCATTACCATCTAGGGTCATTTTAGCCAGCTCTGGTACTTCAACATAGAAGTTTTTCCTGAAGGGCTCATATTCTATCTTTCCATGATCCACTGGTTCCAACAGCTTCCTCTGTTTGGTCTGATAGCCTGTCAGGGCAGTCTGAAGATCAACTTCCTCCTCTTCTGACGAATACTGTACAGATAATAAATCATAAAGAAATATATTCAGTGACAAAAACCCTCTTCAAGGGTTTGATTTTTCACTGACATAACAATGGAACATTGATTGAGGACATTTAACTCTTTCTACACTGCACCAAAACCATCTACGAGAGGGAGAATTACTTTAAGCTTCAAGGATCTCTCCAGTTTTACACACACTCATTCTTTTGGCAACTTCCCCTCTCATCACTCCCCACCTTTCTCCAGCTCCCACCAATCTTAACTGACAACTGGATAGGACTTGCCATCTAGAACTAATCAACAGTGATTCGGGGGGTGGGGGAAGCAGGGGGGAGAGAGAGAGGAGATTCTCATGCAATGGAACTCATCCAGCCTATTCAATTGCCAGTGCAGTGCTGAGAGATTTAAAACCTATTTAAGACCTAAAAACCACAGCACCTTATAGGTTAATCACTTGACATCCCTTTTATGTGAGTAATCTGGACACAGGACAAATTGCTCTGATAAGCTGGAACCCAATAATTGTGCAGGGAGGCTATGCAAATCCCCCCAGCAGAGTATCAACATTGCATATTTATTACATACAGGCAGTGTAAGAGAAGTTTATTAGTTGAGTTTAGAGTGTTACCTGATAATTAGAAGCACATGATTGGGAGTCAGAAGACAGGCATTGTATTCCTGTCTTTGTGACTTTGGGCAAAAATCAAACCTCTTTGTACCTGTTTCCCATTCTGTAAAAGGAAAATAGCTACCTCCCAGGGGTGCACAGAGATTTCTCATTAATATTTGTGGAGTATTTTGAGATCCTCAAATTAAAGGCACTTTAGAAGCATGAAGATCATTTAACTATAAACATAAAACCCAGATTTTGATAATTAAACATATTCAAATGGACCTGTAATTATTGTGACTGAATATGTGGGCTCAGTAGCTACATACATATATAACCACTTAGATGTTCAACTGGTCATTCGCATGCAAAATTGCCATGACTGAAGGCACAATTTCAATAACTGTGTATAAATTGTGTATGCACCAAGTTTAGACATCCACACAGCAACTCAATTATATTAAGATGTTATCAACCTAAACAACTTGATGCATTAATTTAGTTTTCATTTATACCATGTTGTCTTTACACAAGACTGTGCGAGCTGTGGTGTTTTTTAAATTAATCAGTGTCAGCTCTATTTTGGCCATGATTCAACAACATACATAAGGAAATGCCAAACTTTTAGCATGTAAGTAGTCCCACTGAAGCCAACAGGGCTACTTGTGCACTTAAGTACTTTGCTGAACCAGGGCCTTTTTGCTAGAAAAACAAACAGCCCATTTCCACAATAGACACCTAAGACTTTTCAGTTACCTCCATTGCATCTTGGTCATTCTCCATGAGCTCCCCTTTCTTCTTTTCTGATTCCGCAGCTGCCTTTTTGGTTGTCACCACGGTTACTACTTTGGTAACAGTCGGCCCAGATTTCTAATAAAACAGTTAAGGAAAACCATTATCCTAGTACAAATTCTGTATACTCCTGAGCACAGTATAGTGGCTTTGATCCCACTTCCTTAGATGAGATTTCATCAGGGTTAATATCAAACAGCTGATTTGGGGAGATAAAAGGTAAGGACAGGTAGGCATTACATGTAGCATAACCTCTTTCTTGTCTGTTTGCATATTTTCCATCTTAACATGTGCTCTTCAATATCATTTTTCCTATATTAAAATGCTAACACTACTTAAAAAAAGACAAACAAGACAATCTTAATTTTTACCTTTTCACTCCCACCTCCACCTTTCACACTTCTCATATTAAACTTCTTGACCTCTTCTTTAACTTCTTCCATATAAGCATCCAGTGGATCTAATTCTTCATCTTCAATCTCATCTGCTTCTTTTTCCCCTTCTGCAGTCTCCTCCTCGTCATCTAGTACATGACAGAGAAATGTTTTTGTTTAAAAAAAAAACGTTGTGCTTATGAATTCCAAAATCCTTGTTTTTTCCTGCTTTTAGTACAATGCAGGTGTACAGAACCCTGAAAAATGTTTACAAAGCACATACAAATGGGGGGACACTATACTGTAAACTTACAGAACAAAGGTGAAGAACACCATGAGGATAGGAATACACCCCTTCCCCTGGAGTGGAGCCAGCCACGGGGGAAGAAGAGTATCTGGGAGCAGAAGGGATGGGGATCTTCTAATGTTGTCTAAGGGTTTAGTCACCAGTCAGAGAAACCCTGGAATCAAAGGCCATCGTTCCCCATTGACACCACATGGGCACTCTCCCTTCCCCTTGGAGACGGAATGTTCCCTGAAAGAAGACAGACTAAATGTGGAGATGCCAGGGGAGCCAGCATGCTCCCGCAGCCTGCAGGAGCTCCTCTAATGCCTCTAGGTCATTTTAGAAGACTTCTCCTCTCTTGGGGAGAAGTGAGGATGGAGATTCTCCACAAGAGGTATGAGGAACTGGCTGTATTGAGAGAGGTCATCAATAAATGGGAAATTTAGCTAGGATTTTAGTGGGTACAAAATAGCAGTTACGGGTTCCCGGAAAAGAATTGGGTCCACAAAAATGTCCAAAGCCTAGGTGAAATTTTTTTAAAAACTGGAACTGAAGTAAGAGGGAGAAGAAAAGAGTTTAAACATATGTTGATAAACTACCATTATATCCCCATAACTGATCTGAATAACTGCACATCATTATTACTGTATCATTTGTCCTCTCTTTCTCTTAATCCCCCACCAGGTGCTCACTTGTGTCTTAAGCTGTTTGGGACCATGAACCAGTCTAGATTTCATAATTTTAGATTTCATTGAAGAATAATTTAAGTTTTAAAATCAAAGATGGTAATTAAAAGCTGTGTTTATCACTACAAAATGAAGCAATTATCTGTTAATTGTTATATAAAAATATAAGGAAATACCATCATCATCTTCTAAGCTCCATTTTTTCCCTTGTTTCATCTCTTCAATTTCTTTTTTCAGTTCTCCTATGTTTTCCATAGCCTTCTTGCGCTGTTCTTCCCTCCATTTCTCCACTCTCTCTTTTCGTTTTCTCATTTCCTCCTCTAGTTTGTTCTGATCAAAGTTCTATGAGAACAAACAACCAAACTCAAAAGTTATGAATTATTGGCCTGCCTCTGCACTTCTCTAGACAAACTCCTCTTTCTAATCTATGGGAGTTTTGTCTGAGGATTGCCTAATAAAAACATATTGCAATACAAGTTTAACTTAATCTATCTCAGATACACTCTGTAGTGACACCAACTACTATACTTGCATGAGTGAGGTGACTGTAAAATAAAGTGAAATGTAGTTATCTGCCTTGCATACAATGCCAGAACTTGGGCCTAGGGATCTACATTTCTAAACAAATACTCCTAAATACGTCAAATTTTCCTCACCCTCATAGGGAAAGTATACAACAGCAATGATTCTCAACCTTTTTTTGGTGTGTGACCCTGAAAAGCCACCTTGCAACTCATTATTCCCCCAAATGATTTGTGTCAGAGAAACAAGCTATGAGTGGTTATGACCAATGAGTCCTAGGCAGGAGTGCTGGTTGAAGGTGCATGCATTCTTGACTGGGTTTGATGAGGATGTTGGTTTGGTGGCCTGTTGCTGACTCCTGCCAGACTGGAGGGTTGCTCGTGAAGTACTGCTTCCCCTGCCCCAGAGCCAAGCACTGTCTGTGTGTTGGAGTGCTGCTCTGGAACTGGGGGAAGCATAGGCAAAAACAGAGGAAGCAAACTGCTCCTTCCCTTTCTTCCCCTGACTCCTGCTGTGTTCTAGTGACCAAAGGATGTTTTCTACATAAAAATGTATTTAGAAAGCACTTGACCTGAAGTAAGATTTTACGCGTTTCCAAATCATCTAACCCCCCACATCCAGCAATCACTGAAGTGACAAGTGACCCCTCACTATCCACCTGAGGTTTGCATTCTACAGGTTGAGAAGTCCTGCATTAAGAGAAGAATGTTTCTTCTGTCAAGTGGTAGAAGCATACCCATTGTAACAGAAGTCTGTGCTATATGAAGTCCGTGCTATACGAAGTCCAGACATAAAAAAGGGATTATCTAAGGTGATTTTTTAAAAGTACAGTAAACTATATCTAAATTTATTTGAGAACTTTATCATTTGTAAGAGCTAATGTTTAACTGATACAATCTTCTCTCATTGGTCAGTATACATACACTAACATCTTTATCCTTTTCTTCCTCTTTGTCTTCTTTCTCTTTTTTCTTTTCTTTGGAAACTTCCACACCTTCTGTCTTTTCTTTAGACCTTGATCTGAAAGATAAGATCAAAAATGTATGTACTGCATGTCTGATCTGAACAGATTGTTCCAGCTTTTCTTGGGAAAGATGTGTGTGTGCTGGAAGAAACAATGTCATTCACACATTTTTTAAATATCTTGCAGAGTATATTCACTTCCCAGAGAATTTCTTCATTTCATGGACATATTTCCTAGAACTACCAGAGATGCAGAAATCTATTAGGACACACTGATTCATAAGCTCTAGTTCTGTTGTTCTCATTTCTTTATGGGAGGAAGTTGCAGACTTCATTTCCAGAAATACTTAGAACTGATACTCTCATGGTTCCAGAGTTTATTTTACACCATCTTGAAAATAGCTGTTGGAATAGAGATACTCAGAAATTCCTGTCTTTTGCCCTTCTAATATCAAAGTGATCTAGCACCTTGCCTTGTAAGTCTGAGTGCCCCTGAAGGATTTAACTACTGGCTGAAAAACATAAGAACACCTCCCGTCAGGAAAGGCTACCTATATAACTTGATCTAAAACCCATTCACATTTATTATAGACTTTACTATTCCTACCCCCTCTAATAATAATAAAAAAAAATAGATGCATCCAACCTAAACATGTGTGGCTAACCCATGATAATACATTTAAAATTCACTTTTCAGCTGAAAGGGGGAAAAAAACATAGTAAGCTTTTTTCAGAGCCCATAGGGCTATTTTAATGCAAACCATGTGTTTATTTTACAAGATGTTATGTCATTCCAACTTCTCAGAATATAATTTCCATGTTGTTTTAATTAAGGCCCTGGGATAGTCACCAACCTCCTTATTCCATATACACATTAATATTACAGTTTACCCATACAGTACTGCTTTTCTTTAAACTGTGCAACTTCATTGTCTGTTTGTGATTATAATTGAAAATTCAGTTTAAAATGTATTTAGAAAGCACTTGACCTGAAGTAAGATTTTACATATTTCTAAATTCAACATTAAAAGGACCTTAAACTACACTTTTTTGTTACTAGTCATCTTATTTGATCATAAACGCATACAGGTAGGGACCTTGTCTACTCCATGTTCTCTACAATGCTGAGCACACTGACCGTATTCAACAAACACCACAGATGAGAAGTGATGGCATGGTATAAGCATATTTCATGGATTTCTTTGAAGTGTTATACTATGCACTTTATCTGTTAGCATGAATATGAAAGAAATCTTGGCTATGAATCCACTGTAGTCATGCTACTTTTTTTTTTAAATATAAGAACATGAATCATTTAATTTCTTTGAAGATGTGTGCACATGTGTGGGACGGGCGGGCAGGGACTCAGTGCACCATTTGGAAACCATGCACAAAAGTGACTTTAGTAAGTGAAAAGTCAGCTTACTGTCATCCAACAATTTAAAGCAGTTTATAACTACTAATTAAGTCTCATAAAACCCTCTGAATTGTAATATAGTAATATTAAACATAGGTTCAAAGAGTTTAAGTGACTTGGCAGAGGACACCCAATAAGTTCATGGCAGAGCCAGCAATACAACCCACAGCCCTGGAGAGCACCACTTCCCAGATGAAGTTGGCACCTGGCATGGGGCAAACACTTGTTACAAGAAGGACTGCTGCCTACATAGGTTTTGGAGGACATTAATATATTAAAATTATTTAAATAAGTCTTGAGATAAGAACAATGAATGACACCATCACTCAATTTTCTAAGAGGCATTACGTGATTTAGCCACAGTATTTTCAACAAGAGTTACATTTTCAACACACTGCATGAGTGTCAGCTGTGCTAGAGATCACCTTTAACACATCTTTTCCACAGAGGTGTGACCACAAAACAGCACTCACTGATCCTAGACCCTGAAGTAACTATGATTTAAAGATATTAGACTAAAGGGCCAGTGTGAATTTTTTTTTCTGGTAGGTGTCACTAGCTTAACTTTAAATTTATGTGTATTCAGGTCTTTTCCTGAATTACTGAAATAGAAATATTCCTCCAGTGAACGTAAAACAGCATTTCTAGAACTTAAAATATTGTTTTATTGCTTCCTTATATTCTTCTGTCTGCCTGTATCCATCTGTTGTCTCATCTTACACTTAGACTGTCAGCTCTTTGCGACAAGAACTGTCTCTTTGCTCTGTATTAGTACAGAACCTAGCACAATGGGGTCCTGGTCCATGACTAGAGCTCCTATGTACTATGCTAATACAAATAATAAATAAAATATAGGATATGTAGCTACTTAGATCTATAAAAGAGTTTTTAAGCAATGGGAACAAACCATAAGGTTTAGGTAGTACATGTGCACTCACTGAATATTCTCCTTCTAAAAGCCAGAGCTGTGCATGGCTTTCCTGACTTATTGCCTCCAGGCCTTAATATCAAGTGCAATATTTAAATATATATGAGGAGTTTTTAAAACAAACACGATGCATTGAGCGGGGCTATTTTGCAAATAGCGAAACAAACTAAGCCATTCAGTATGTGTTTGCTATTGAACGCAGGCTCACAGAAATCAAGAACAAAGGGTACTATTTTAAACAACATTTTGTATGGTTACTCTTCCTCGAAATTGCTTATTGTGTTCAAGGTCAAAACCACTTATATAAGATATAAAAAGTGCTGCATTTTCTAAAGATTATTAAAATAATGGAGGATATCAAATATAGCTACATACTCAAATACAAGTCAAGTACATGTCACAATGATCTCAGTTGAAACAAACTAAGATCAACATCTAAAGATAAGCCTTTTTACCAAAATCTATTCAGACTTTCCAGGAAGTTTGTTTCATTCTCCTACGGGGATGGAGAGCTTTACCAAAAAAAGGGGACAAACGTCCAGCAGGGAGAATATGAGAGTGAACTCCTGTCTCTAGGGTTGAAAGATTAACCTAATGTTTGATCTAGCTACCAATTTGAGCATTTTGAATTTGAGCAAAATTCTGCAATGGTGAAAGTTAATCATCTGGAAAATGATGATCCAGGAACAGGCATAAATAGCCTAAGATGCTGATGAGGCATTCTGTGCACGTACAAAACAAGCACAACTACATTTTCACAAACGCAGAGAGTGACGATGACAAGGGATGTAGCATAAAAAGGGGTTGCAGTTAGAGATGTAAATAGCATGTACAAAAAGTAACCATGTAACCTATTAAAATTCGATCGGTTAAAAGGTTAAACGTTTAGCTGGGGAATTAAGGGTGAGGGGGGTTCTGCAGTACCCCCATGTTTGGGACCCCGCTGGCGCCCGGTACACTTGGGGTCCTGCCCGGCCACTGGGCGCATGGGACAGCAGCAGAGTTTAATTGTTAACTGAAACCGATAAGCATCAAGCTCATGGTTAAACTTTTACATCCCTAGTTACACTCAAGCTACTTGGGTGAGAAAACCAACATTATTTTGCAAATGTGCGCGCACACACACACACGAAAAAGCCTTAGTATGCCAAGGAACATGGTGAGGAATATTTTTATTCCTGAAAAAAAGATTTACAGAAATACTGGAAAACCAGTTTAATATCTGATAAATCTATCTGGCAACTATATCCAGTCCCCGTATAGGAAGAGATTATAATCTATAAATCTTTCCATGTCTAGTTACTAACATATTAATCACAGCTGTGAATGAGAGTACCTGTTTTCTGTTTTCTTGTTCTTGTTAGGACTGGTGGACCGGGACCGTCTACTTCTGCTTCTGGACCGTTTCCTCTCTCGACTGCGTGATCTTCTTCTCTCTCTGCTCCGTTCCCTCTCTCTGCTTCTTGAACGTCTGCCACAGAAGCAGAACTGACTTATTTAGTATTCTGCACTTATGGCCATTATTTTAAAATATAAGAATATATGAAAACTGAGAAGTTTTGGTTTGGGGGGGGTTAACATAAATTGGTCTGTTAACATAGGAAAAAACAATCTTCAGCAAAAATCTGCAAAAGGAAGCCAAGAGCCATTAAGGTTACGGAAAGGGTTACCAAATCCGAATTACGGCAGCTTACCACAGCCAAAATTGAAATCAAGTTAAGTATACTATGCACTACTTTAGCTAAGTAAAACCTATTACAAAAGGCAGATACCAATCGTACAGAGAGGAACTTCAGATATTCATAAAAAGATAGCCCAGACTGACTCAAGTCAAATCTTATTTTCGAAGAACACATACATTTCCTGAGACTTTGCAACTCATACCTCAGGCGCTTCCTGTCCCGTGACCGAGATCTCCTCTTGTCCCTGCTGCGTGACCTCTCACGCCTGCGTTCTCGATCTCTACTTCTAGAACGTCTGTCTTCTCCACGTTTTGTTCTTTTGTCAGCTGGAGATCGACTTCTAGAGCGGCTACCAGAACGTCCACGTGATGTGGAGCGCTTCCGATAATGTCTGCGTAGTTGCAAATTCACAATAAGAGAGTCAAGATGTACAGGAAAACACTTTGCAGTTTAAAGGTACTTTAATTACATTTAGAACAGAAACCATAAAAAGGAAAGACCAGGTCCTTTTTTTTTTTTTTTTAAAAAGTATTACAAAGCGGTTTGAGCATTGGCCCGCTAAACCCAGGGTTGTGAGTTCAATCCTTGAAGGGGCCATTTGGGGCAAAAAATCTGTATAGGGATTAGTCCTGCTTTGTGCAGGTCCCTTCCAACCCTGATATTCTAGGATTCTTTCCTGGTCTTGCGTAACTGAATTAGTACACACACACATATGCACCTACCGAGACACTGAAGTTAGCTGGATTACTTTGCTATATATCATTGAAAGAGCCCTAGTGAGGTCACACCACGAGAGCAAAGCTTTGTGATAGCATCAGAATTCCAAGAGGCATTTACTATTTAGTAATCCATCAATTTTTATATGCAGGAAAAAGATTAAAACTGCATGTGAAGATGTCTCATAGGGCAGTCTGCCTCAGTTTATATCTCAGTTCCAAAAAGATACTATCAAACTCCATTCAAAAAATTGTGTGCAAGCGTGAGCCTGTGTGGTGTAATGGAAAGGGCACTGGACTGGTAGTCAAGAGACGTAGATTTTCTTCCCAGCTCTATTACTAACATTGATACCAGACACCTCTGTGTTCCTGGGGAACCAGGGTGCAGTATCCAGCCGGACTCATGAAAGACACCTCCCCCCAGACTCTGCTTAAACCAAAACCCATCAGAAGAAGAAAACTTGCAGAGAGCAGTAAAGGGCGTTGGGAGACACACCTAGACCCCTCCTGACAAGGGTGACAAGATTAAGACATCTCCATTAGCATACAGAATGGAGAGCAGAGACAACTCCCCTAGCCTCATCTGCATGAAAGATGGGACAGGAAGACATCTCAATTTACATACAGAATGGAGAACAGAGAACCACACTAAATTCTGGGACCAGAAAAAGCAGGGAAGCACTGCATCCTGGGAATCTCTGCTCCAGATGCTAATGAACCTACGCCTGCACACACACCCAGCTCAGCAGTTATCAGACCAATTCTAGTAATGAATCCTTAACTGATATACTGAAGTAGCCTAGTTGCATTGTGAGCTCCCTGGAAGAAAACACCACCCATAGCCAAGAGTGATCAGATCCTATTGTCTAGTCTAAAGAAAACCCTTGAGTCATCAGTTTACCTATAAACAAATCTAGTGTTCTCCCTTGAACCATTGTATTTTCTCTACAAAAATCCCTACTCACCCTCTAGTCAGGGTTCTGATGCTTAGATCCAAACTATGCATCAGTTCCACTGGAACTCCATCTTCTGACTGATTGTGCTGGGGGCTCTGCCTGTCTCCAGCATTCAGGACCCTCAGTTACCACCATCACCTGGGAACCCCCACCAGTTCAAGCCTCATGGAGTGGGTGAGATCCCCCCTTCTTTCTCTCTCTCTGTTTTCCTTTCTACCTTAGGTATTAACCTTTAATCATGTATGTTAGGTTGGTTTAGTCCTCCTTGTGTAGTTATCACTATTATTCAATAAATAACTTCTATGGTTAAGTTGGTTGCTTCTCTCTCTCTTGCTGAACTTTACTCGTTTGTGTTTTTAGCTTCCCCCATTCACTCTACAGCAACACTTCTTTTACCTAAGTTAAAGATCCCTGCAGCGCCCAAAATACTGTGGGGTTTGCTCATCAAGTAGGTTACTGCCAGTACAGTTGTGTTGGGGGAGTGGGGAGTGTAGGCCAATGCAGCCTACATCAACAGTAGAGGTTTTTCTGTCAGTGTAAAAAACACCCCCCAAATTACATTAGCTGCGCTGATGACATTCTTCTGTCACCATAGCTGTGTCTACACTGAGGGTTATGTCGGCATAGTTATTTCGGTCAGGGGTATGGTTTTTTCAGATCTCAGAACAACGTAGCTATGCCAATATAACTTACAAGAGTAAACCAAGCCGAGGAGCCATGAGACGTAGGCTATGCCTACACTATAGGCTTCTGCCAGCACAGAGGTACGATCCCAGACCAACACAGCTATGTCAGCAAAAGATTTTAGTGTAGACACAATTATACTGGCAAATCTGTACTTGTACTGGTTTCACTTCGGGGAGATTACAAGCATGAAAGCTCATACTAGTAACAGCGCTTTGCCGATATAAGTAGATAATGTTTTCACCCCTCAGCTCACAGAGAGCCGAGAAGCAAAACACTCTGCCAGTACAGTATGCGCATATAGCACTCAGTCTTTAAGGTCAGAAGGGACCATTATGATCATCTAGGCCACAGAATCTCACCCACCGACTCCTGTAACAAACCCCTATCCTATGTCTGAGTTACTGAAGTCCTCAAATCGTGGTTTAAAGACCACAAGGTGCAGAGAATCCTCCAGCAAGTGACCCGTGCCCACTCCTAGTATAGATATGGTTTTAGGATTAATCGCATGGATTTGCTGTGTCCCCTTGAGAACCTCAGTTTTGGCACCTGCAAAGGAGTAATACCATTACCCAGTCCACTTACTTATTACCACGACCGTCTGTACTCCCTGTATGAGTGATTGACCCTCACCGCTTGTCAACTGTATCTTGATCCTGCCCACCGTCTACCCCGCCATTGGGGACATTGCAGACTGTATGTATTATGTGTGCTGCCCAACCCCAAAATACTAGCATCCCCCCCACACTCTGTATGTTACCCCCAATAACCAACAACTGACGCTTCAAATTTTCTGTATCGTTTATTTTTAAATATTCTCTAATAAAATTTTAAAATCTATCTATTTCACGTGTAAAGCACTAAGTATTATTATTTAAAGAGATCCGATAGCTCACAGTGCAACAAAGTATGGTAGAAGCAGCAATGGAAGCCACATGGTTCTGAAGGAAGCTACTGAAACGACTACTCTGATGAGAAAAGGACAAAGCAAAGAGTCCAGAAGCATCCAGTGCAGCCCACCCTCTGCATACACTGCTCATCTCAGACGTATAATCAGGGCTCTAGGCTTTTTGCCGCCCCAAGCAAAAAAAAATTTTGGCTGCCCCCCACTCCCGCCCTGGGCTCCCCCCCCGGTACCCTCCTGCTGCCCCAGTCCTGGGCTCTTCCCCCCACATCCCCTCCCCCCCACCCACATCCCCCTGCCGCCCC